ATTAAAAATGTATCCATTTTCCAAAGGACTGTTTATTATTTTATTTTATAATGGATTAACTTTCCAAAATTTCCCTGTTTAAAGAAAATATATTTATAAATTTAAAGGTGGCTAAGGATATAAACAATTTGGTATTTTGTTTGAAAATAAAAATTGGGACAGCAAAAATATCAGACAGGAATATACGCATATGTGTTAATGCAAATGCACAAAAAATATATGATGTTACCTTTTGTTAGAAAGAGTGAGTATATATAAAGGTAAAGAATTTGATATACTATAGTGGTGTGGTTCAATATGTTGTGATATTGATATAAAAGATTTTGTAAAAGGTAATGTAAAGCTTGTTTATTTATTTTAAATTTTATTAGATTTTAATATTAATTTATTATATAAAAAAAACTATACAAAGAAAACTAGAATTAATAAATCAGGTAAATTATTAACTTGCATTTATATGAAGTAAATTTATAGAATTATATAGAATTATATAGAAATTAAAAAATAAAAAACATTATAACTTCACTAATTTTTTTTTTATTTTTTTAATAGACATATATACTAAAAGAACTGTTACCATTAAGCTTTAATTTCTATTTATATTTGATTTGCATATTATGTATTTAATAACACTATTGTTGATTTTCATAATAAAAAATATCATGAATTATGGGTTTTTTTTTGATTTTTCTCCACCCATTATTGTTCTTTCAAAAAATAATTATATCTAAATAATGTAAAGCATTTATATTATTATTTTAAATTTATTATTGATCATTTAATAAATTAAATCTATTTAAAATACACAGTAGTTTATCTAAATCAAATTTTAAGGGTTTAAATGATAAAAAACTGAAAAAAATTGAGAATGTGTTCAATTACCTAGTAATAAAATATATTTAATTTATTTGAAGATTCTAATCAGAAATAAAATTAAAAAATAAAGATTGATCACTATTGCTATAATTGCTAGTTTTCTTTAAAATAGTGACAAATGATTTCAATATGAAGAGTCTCACATATTTATCTCGAATACTTAGTAATAAACAAATATACAAGATATTAAACAAATTAAGGATAAAATATATATATTATTAATATTTCTAAGTACTCCAATGTGTGGTCTCATTTATTCAAAATAAATTTATGCTCTTGAAAATCTAAAGCTCTTTCTATTATAGTATAATATAATCAAATTAAATCAATCAATTAATATAAATTAAAAATTATAAATAAAAATATAATAATAAATTATTTATTCACTTTAATTTTAATTCTACTAATAGAACTAGTTTATTTAGTATTTGATTTTCCTGTTATATTGAGTCAATTTGTTAGTTCAGTGATTAGTGTATTTTCAGTATGAGAATATCATTTTTCACAATAAGTTCATTAGCTTTACATCTAATGTAATAATAAGAAGAAAATGTTAATAATAATAACTTAATTCCAATTATTTTAATTATGAAATATAAACCTTAACAAACTAAAAAACCTTTTTCTCCATCCTTTGATTCAGTATTTCATCACATAGTTAGGAAGAAAAAAAGCATTATAAATAATATCTTTAATCAAGTATAATTTTTTATCATCAAAAAAACCACTTAATATATCATCTTCAAAATTGCAATCATCAAAAAACAATCTAATTAACAATATTGCTTTTAGTAATGAGAAAAATATTTTTAATTAGTTCAGCCATTTGATTTTATTATTGAATATTAATTCAATCAGATGATTCACAAAAATTATTTAAAAAAACTAATCTACCAAGTTATTTACATTTACAACAAGACTCTTGTATGATGTATTTTAAAATCTATTAAATAAGTTTATGTAATTGTACTGTTGGAGTTATAATTGATGTTGTTTATAATTTTTACAAGAATAACTTTTAACATAATAGTTAGTATTATTTATATTGGAATTAAAAAGAAATGACTAAATTATAATTAATGAAAACCATTAAGTAAAGCAAATTCTTATGCAAAATGCATTTATAATTACAATATATAAACACAAGATATAACTTATCTGATATTTGTGCCTTTATCATTTGATCATTTAAGTCAATGCTCTGATTGGTCAAAAGTGTATTACATCCTTCTGCTATTTCTGTAAAGTTGAATAAAACAAAAATCTGCACTCATGTAAAATTTTGTAAGGTTCTTCAAAATTTATAAAATTTATTAAATAACCGTAAACTGCTTAACCTAGTTTATAAATTTTAACGAATTTTCTATTGTAGGATCAGTAAAGACCTTAAAATTTAGGTGTTAAATTATATGAAAATTCTATGTTGTTAATAATGTTAAATTTCTAAAAAAAATTCAAATAAAAAAATTCACAATTAAAATTTTAAATCTAAACTTTTATCTCATTCTTTACTAAAATGATATTAAGCATGCAAACGTGAATATATTACAGGATTTTTTAATTTTGTAAAAAGTCAATTTGTTGAACAAGTCATTAATGTTGAATTTACACTTTTGCTCAAATTCTGATTGTTTGTGATTTCTGAGACTTCTGATTGGTTAAAAATCAATTACGTTATATCATATATTAAATCAGTGCATTCGTAAAAAATTTTGAATTTTCATGAAATATTAAAATTTAGCAAATAAGCAAAATAAATAATTTAATTAAATATATACATATATGTGCCATAAAGTATTAATAATTTTCATTAGCGAAATTGACAAATTAAATAACCATTTTATAATAATTCTAGAAATTAAAATTTATTTTGTTCCTTGAATAACACATTTGAAGATATTTGAGATATTACTAACTTATCATCAATATCAACTCATGATATAATTTCAAGCCTTACAATCCTTACTTTTATTATTTGAGCAGCCTATTTGAAACTACTCGCAACTCTGAATATCTTCTCCTCTTGTCTTTTCTTTCTGCAGTAATTGCAGCGATTTTTTCTGTCATTTTAAAAATCACATATTTCTATTTATTCTAATTTTGCTTAATAGTAATATTTTGAGTTCTGATACTACTGTTGTCTTTAGTACAAGATTTATAAATGTAAAGAACTATTGTTTATTTAGCACCATCTTATCGTCCGAAGCGTGCTCTAATGTTTTTGCAATTTTTTTTTTTAAAAAAAGAAAAAATTATCTTTGTTTAGGTCATTGGAACGTCATTCTTTATGTCACATTCATATGTCATCGATCGTTTACCGACAATTCTATTAAGGAAATAATTTTTCAAAAATAATTTGACAGGTTAATTGTTTATACTGAATTACAACTGTGACAATAGTCAATAGAAAGGGAATCTAAAATTCGGTTAAAATTTTTTACTGGTATTTGACCGATTACAGTCTTGCTTAGTTTACAGATTTTCCCTCCGACGTCCTCCCAATTTATAACTCCGGAGACGGTTGAACTTTCAGATTACGAAACCGTTACTAATAACGATAAAGGTAGAAAATAAATAAGCAGATGAATAGGGTAGTTGCTTACAAAGAATTGATAATAGTCTTGCATTATTTTATTCATGTATTGCAATAGACAAACAATCAGCGTTTAGTCGTCAGCCGAAGATAAATTTCTTAAAAAAAAAAAAAAATAAAAATTTTGGAATAAATCATTTTAAGGTTAGGTTCGCAATTTTTTTTATTTGACAATCTATTTCACAGAAACTGTATCATGGGAAATAAATTGAGCAGTATTTCATTTAAACTCGAGAAGTTTACACGACACGCTAAAAAATAATAAAAATGGTATACATGTGTAAAAATTGTTATTTATAAACCTAGATAATAAACTTAACTGCGACTGTGGCTAAAATAATTTTTTTTAAAAAAAATATTCTTAAAATTTGCAGTTAGCGAAGGCGATTTATTTTGATGCTATGGAGACATATTTTTTAAAGAGATGCATACTATAAAAGCAGTATTTTTTTAAGTTCTTTTATATTTGAAAAGAGTATGCGTCGATTTGAAATTTTTAAATAAATGAAGTTTTGGTGAGGACGAAATTTTTTTTTAAAAAAATCAATTATCTTCGCAGTTATAAAATTTGTCCGCTTTGTAATTAGAATTTTATCGCTATAAGAGATTTTCGCATCTAATTTGAGTTTCCATTTTGGATAAACTTTACTTAACGTTAAACGGTAGGCAAGCTGACGAACACAGCGTCGTCCGTAAAAATGGTAGCCGGCTACCATTTTTTACGGGCGACGCTAGGGCGGTTGAGGCAATCTATTAAATCACGTTACGGATCATATGTTCGTAACTCGATTTTAATAGCAAAATTCCCAAATGGTTTGCATAAATATTTAAATTTAAAAAAACTACCATTTCTTTTTTTTCTTTTGATTCGTCGCTAATTAACTTTTTTATTTACATTTTTTTTTTTTCAAAAAAGTTTTGTAAGCAAGCCGAGCTGGCTTGACAAGCTCGCGAACCAATCTATAATAATTTTAGCAAAAAATTAATTTCAGTTTATAGTTTTATACAAATTCAATGAAAGAGCCTTAAAGCAAACCATTATCTTATTTTATGACCTTTGACTTTACCGATATAAATTTGCCGTTCGTAATCATTAAAGTGGGCGGTTTACAAAAAGTAACTCTAAAAAGGAAATACATATAATTTTTTGTTATGACGTATAATCGAAAAAAAAAAAATCTAATTACCAATTAATGATATCTAAAAATATGACGGGTACATAATATATTTATATTTCGTATATAACTCAAAAAAAAATTTCATCGAAACAATTAACTTATCTAATTTCGTTCCAAAATTCGATTTTGAAATATAAAGTAATGTTTTCAGTAATTCCATGACTAACATTGAACTCGTAACTTTATTATGGAGAATAACAATAGAGTGGGAAGTTTCGACTTGAACGTTTCTGTTTTGATAATTACCGCAGTAAAAGTAACTTACGTTATCGCATGATTTGTACGTGTACAACTGCAAAACGGAATTGTTCAGAAAATATTTTCCGTAGAAAATTTTTTTATTTTAAAAAATAATGGACGTAAATAACCATGAAGATGAAACTCAAGTCGATAAATTAAATAAGAATTGTTCTTGTTGCGATAAACCGTTTGAAGAGTTTTTATGGTGTAAAGAATGTGACCCTTGGTATATAATTGAGGGATGGATTAGTGGAAATTCTAATATTGATAAATTCATCAAAGATACAATGTATGATGCAAGAAAAAAATTTCCAGAATTTCTTGAATGGGTGCCCTTTGATAGATTCACAGATATAAAAGAAATTGGTGAAGGAGGATTTGCCAAAGTGTATTCTGCAACCTGGATCGATGGTAAATCGGAATTTTATGAGAATGGATCACGAGACATGTCAGCCAAATATTTTAGTGAGGTATTTTATACTTGCCTTTTATATTATTAAACTTTTATATTATTAAATAGTAATATTTCTAATTTGCTTAAATTTTCATAAACAAGCTTAAAACACATTGGGATTTTGTCAAACAGGTGATGCATTAAAATCTTATGGGATAACTAAGGATACAGAAACCAAAGATTTTATTATGATAGTACAATTTGCATCTGATGGAAATTTGAGAAGTTATCTTTCAAATAATTTTAACAACTTGTTTTGGAGATATAAAATTGAAATATTATATTATGTGTTAGTTGACTTTTATAGTTTACATAATATAGAATATTGTCATAAGGATTTTCATAGTGGAAATATCTTGCAAAATGAAGTAGTTTCTTATGTTTCAGATTTTGGATTAACAGGACCAGCAGATAAGCAAAAATCGGATGATAAAATATATGGAGTATTACGATATATCGCTCCAGAAGTCTTGAATGATGGTTTATATACTTTGGCTTCTGATATCTACAGTTTTGGTGTAATTATGGCTGAATTATCATCCGGAAATCCTCCATTTTATGATAGAAAACATGACATATCTTTAGCCTTGGATATTTGTTATGGACTTCTTCCAGAATTTGGAAAAGGAACCCCTGAATTTTATAATAAATTGGCTTATAGATGTATAGATGCAAATCCAAATCAAAGACCAACAGCCAAAGAATTATATAATACAATGGTTTTTTGGGATGATTCTATTGTACAAAATGAGTATAATGATACTACAGAATATGGATATTATCGAAAAGAAATAAAGGAAGCATTTGAAGAGGCAGATACCAAATATTTCAATTTCACATAAAACGAATCCTGATGCTATATATTAAAGTAGAGCATTTACATTTAAAAATTTGACAAAACCTATTAATTCGTCTCTTATCACCTCATACCTTGAAAAGGATGAGAATAATGAAGGTAATATATA